AGTAGAAACGGCTTCCCATTTTCATTAAACCAGTCCATATAGTTATCCGTAACCATATGACCAGTTTCAGCGTAATATTGTCGAGGGGCCAACAGTGTATATCGGTTCTCCCAAAGCGCAATCCAATCTCTGTGTCTCACCACCCAGTTAACATCTTTCTTTCCTCGTCTATCTATGTTATGCACATCGTCTAAATTCCTAGGTGCTCCAGGAATATATTGCGTACAACCATACTGACAGAGCACGCGATCAACTGGATGCCACTCAATAATAGCATAACATATAAGAGGTATAACCGATATCCATACCTCTAATGACCCACTAAGGTGGGGTGGGATGCAAGCTTTCACTTCATCTCTCGCATAAGGTATCCACTGAAACTGAAATATAAATATAAAATTCAAATAAATAAAATATTCTAATTATATCTAGCATTTTAAATTAAAATATTAATAATTAAACAAATTTAAAACATACCTCAGACCCAGCTTTCGTATCAATAAGTAAACGAATTTCCTCTAACCCAGTAGGTATACTTTTATGGTCCTTTCTTTTCATCGACCACCTATGAAATATAATATAAACTAAATATCACCCTATTTAATTGAAAATATTTAAATCAAAATTTAGTTCGAAAATTACCTCAACAATAAGGGGAATACGTATGGTTCATTCACGATCGGGCATAAGAAAGGCATGCGGAACCACGCCCATGATTGTAGAAGCAGAAGACATCCACCGATAGTAGTTTTCTTATAATTCGTCGCCCGACACATTTCTCTAAAGAGAAATGCCAAAACTGCAGCGCTCCAACTATATCTTCCAGCTTCATCAAAATCGATCAAATGCCGCAACCACATACAATGCACCTGGTTGCGAGATTTGTCGGGCATCAATATTCCTCCAATTATTCGTAGAATATATGCCCGAGCACATGCCTTTGCTTGATCTTTTGAAGCATTTTCATTTAAAACCTCAAAATTAGCTTTCAACCAAGATAAAACTATTCTATCTCCATTAAACTCTGGCGGAGCAGCTCCAAGATAATCAATGCACATTGATTGCCAATCACCATCCGACATACCACACATCATATTTCCGTCGACGGGAAGCCCCAGATGCATAGAGACATCCTCCAATGTAATTGTGGCCTCTCCACATGGAAGGTGAAAAGTGTGTGTCTCGGGCCTCCACCTTTTAATCAGTGCAGAAATTAGGACAGGTTCGAGTTTGCAACCGCCTATAATTGTTGCAATATACCCGAACCCGGCAGAAGCCAAATATGGAAAAATACGTTCCGGTGTCGGTATACGTGGATTTTTAATAAAAGTCTCTAAAATACGATCTGTATCCTAAATAATATACATTATAAAAAATAAAAATTAATATAAATTCATAATAACTTTAAAATAAAAATAAATTTAAATATTAACATTAATTATAAAAAATATTATCATATCGCTAAAATGTCTGGAGATATGATCAATATCCAATCGCAACAACATTTCGTTTTTCATTATAACTGCAGACAAAACAATATAATTAGCAAAAAAAAATTAATAATTCTAAATAAATAATAATTATATAAATATTATTTTAATAAAAAAATAATATTTACATAAATATATTAATATAAAATATAATAACTATTTTAAAAAATACTAACATAAAAATAAATTTCTTACCACTAATAACAAATTTAAAACTCAAATAGTTGGAGAATTTGAGTTATATAAGAGAGGATAATATGATTTTGGTGTGAAGAATGAGAGAGGGTTGAGGGGGTTTATATAGGGGAGGAGGGGGTAGTTAGGGAAAACGGATGGGGGCATTTATGGCATTTAATGGAAGGCGCGTCCCTGGGGATGCGCTTTCCACACGTGGCATCCAACTCAGCGAAAACAAGGGTAAAGCGCGTCCCCGGGGACGAGCCTTTCGCCAGCTCAGCCGAAAGGGTGCCACTTCGAGAAATATATATTAAACGATGCTAAAAAGGTAAATATTCGTTAAAGACGTTCCAGTTTGGTCAAATAACCTCGTATACCTGTATGACGTCAGGGAAAAAGCTATCAACATCAATAGAAACCAACAGAACATGCATAATATTTACTATATTCCACTTTTGGATGTCTTCCCCAGATGCATAGAGACATCCTCCAATGTAATTGTGGCCTCTCCACATGGAAGGTGAAAAGTGTGTGTCTCGGGCCTCCACCTCTCAATCAGTGCAGAAATTAGGACAGGTTCGAGTTTGCAACCGCCTATAATTGTTGCAATATACCCGAACCCGGCAGAAGCCAAATATGAAAAAATACGTTCCAGTGTCGGTATACGTGGATTTTTAATAAAAATCTCTAAAATACTATCTGTATCCTAAATAATATACATTATAAAAAATAAAAATTAATATAAATTCATAATAACTTTAAAATAAAAATAAATTTAAATATTAACATTAATTATAAAAAATATTATCATATCGCTAAAATGTCTGGAGATATGATCAATATCCAATCGCAACAGCATTTCGCTTTTCATTATAACTGTAGACAAAACAATATAATTAGCAAAAAAAAATTAATAATTCTAAATAAATAATAATTATATAAATATTATTTTAATAAAAAAATAATATTTACATAAATATATTAATATAAAATATAATAACTATTTAAAAAAATACTAACATAAAAATAAATTTTTTACCACTAATAACAAATTTAAAACTCAAATAGTTGGAGAATTTGAGTTATATAAGAGAGGATAATATGATTTTGGTGTGAAGAATGAGAGAGGGTTGAGGGGGTTTATATAGGGGAGGAGGGGGTAGTTAGGGAAAACGGATGGGGGCATTTATGGCATTTAATGGAAGGCGCGTCCCTGGGGATGCGCTTTCCACACGTGGCATCCAACTCAGCGAAAACAAGGGGTAAAGCGCGTCCCCGGGGACGAGCCTTTCGCCAGCTCAGCCGAAAGGGTGCCACTTCGAGAAATATATATTAAACGGTGCCAAAAAGGTAAATATTCATTAAAGACGTGTCAATTTGGTCAAATAACCTCGTATACCTGACGTCAGGGAAAAAGCTATCAACATCAATAGAAACCAACAGAACAGCATAATATTTACTATATTCCACTCTTGGATGTCTTCCACAGGTATTTTTAAATTATTCTCATAAGAACAACAGGGGCATTCACATCACACACATGAAATCATGTCTATAATTCTTAAACATTTTAATTATTTGTCAAGATCGAATACGTTAAAGATCAGTTTGTACAAGGCAAGAGTTGTTCAGTAATCGGTACATTACCTCCCTCTCGTTACACATAGGGATTTGAACAAGAACCATGGGGTACTCATAGCCTGATGCTTCAACATCGACTTGAATGGACCCCCTTCAGTTCTGGGATTAATACTCTTGCATTTAATCCAAAAGCAGCCTAAGCTAAGAATCATACGATCTGCAGATTGGATAACAGAGCCACACAGAACTTAGACAACGCTTGAATTGGTGGTGCAATGTAATCGGCTCTAAAAGACAACCAAGTAATTAAAACAAGTGGAGCAACCCCTGAATATCAGTAGTCCTCGGAATGTACAAACTGGGATTCTGGAAATAATGCCAGCCCTTGAAATAAGCAACAATCTCACAAACGAGAACTATCAATGAAGTTACGAGCAAGACTTTAATGACTGCAAAGAGCAGTTTTGCTTTTCCCAACTTCTCAGTAGCCATAGCAGCATCTTGCCGAAAGATCAACCTTTTGTTTATGGTCCCAAGCAAGCACCAGAAGAGTGTAGCAATCCAAGCAACACAACCGACAGCACGATGAGCCTTGAGAAGTATAACCCAAATCACTTGCTTTGCATTTTTCCCTCTGGCTTTTTCCATATGCATGAATGCAGCATCTGGGTCGTCGATTTCTACCACAGAGTAGTATGGGTTCTCCATTTTAACCACAACCGGTGTGCCTTTCCTCGTATCGTTTGCCCACCACTTTGAAAAATCTAATCTTGGAGCCATTAGGTGGTGGGTCTTAGTCAAAACGAAACCAGGAAAAAAAATCCCAACGACAATTGCTCAAAACCCGGATCTCAATAATCAAGAAATGAACAAAGAACAAGGAATCAAAAACTGAAAGAAGGCAGTTGGAGGCTCTTCATTGTAGAGAAGAAGTGAGGAAGGAAAAGTGAAATAAAGGAATGTTGGTAGTTTGTAGCAGCAAAGGGCAGTCCAAAAGACACCCAACAATGGAAAACAACATTACGAGGAAACGTATCTGCAGCTGTAAAACCCCGTCTTTTCTTTTCGTTTTGGGTCTAAATTAATAAGCAAACAAACTTTTCTCTTTTATATGGCTCGGTGAGGCACAGGATCAGCTGAACCTGTTTAACAAAAGAAGCATTCATTAAATACACTACTTTAGTTGGACTTCACTTCATCACCGAAAGCTGAAATACACTCCATTATTAGTTTATAGTTTGGCATTGGATGCTTGTCATTCTATGATTAATCAATTATCAAAAGTAAATGTTATTCTGTGGCAAAACTAAGATAGTTAATCATTAAGAGTAACTTGATATAATGGCTTCAAACCTTATCTCCTTTGAATTTCTTTTTCTAGTATACAAATCTCAATCCGCTAATTTTGATTAATTGATAATGGTTTCCCTTTTAATAATTACTAATATAATCATATTACTAACGTGACTGTCACCATTATTCATCACATGAAGAAAATAAATGAAAAGTGGAGAAGAAAGAAAGAAGCAGCTTGTCTTGTGGAATCATTAATTATTAAAGAAAAAAGAGGTGATATTAATTACGACACAATAAGTTGGTGGCATTATACATGTATTTGTTATAACAGTTAATGGAGGCTTTCTGACCATTCTTTCTTTTTCTTTCTTCCAACACATGCAAAGATAAAGAGTGGCACAAGGGGGGTAGCCTAAATGTATTAGCAGAGTAAATTCATGCTAATAATCGTAACAAAATTCTTCCATTATGTCATTGTCCACCTAAAATGGTTATGAACCATCCAAAAATCGGTACAATAGCATCCATGATTTCTGTAAATAATGAAAACCCGGATAGACATATAACCCCAACTTCATCCATTTCTTTTGATGGTGAAATTATAATGTAAAAGAAAAAAATGATTTAACTAGAAAATGCAGCCAATCATTGAAAACTGCCATCTGCTATTTCAGCTCTCTTTGCCCCATTCCCTCCCTCAATTTCTGAAACATGCATGAACAATTCACATTTCGGGCTGCTACCCCCTGCTGCTGCAACAGATGAACTTGATTCAAAATCGGCCATATTGGTGTTTTCCGAATCTTCCATTTCATAATCATTTGCTACTCGCGAATCTTTGGAAATCGAAAAATTGCTGGTTTCTTCGACCATCTTCACATTTTCTTCCCCACTCACAGCATCGCAAATTGGAGCTTTATCACGGCTGGGAATCTCATCCATATCAGAAGAACATGGTTGGCTACTTGTCCGGTCCATATTATTATTCTCCACATTTTCTCTCACATCTATAGAATTAACCCTGTCCCTATCTTCGCAGTTTATTCTACTAGCTTCTGAATCAATCTGGAAACGTAACCCATTTTCATTGAAGGAAACTTCCTTATCAAGTGATGATGTTGACTTGGTCACATCACCGTTCTCCTGTCCATGGACAGCATCTGCATTCATTCCGGCAGATGACCCATCTTCACGTTTAGAAATTTCTGAATGCAAACAACCGTTCATTGACAGGGACACGTGACGAACAGGAGAACTAATGGACTCTATTCCAGGTACACTTTCCGTTTGTTCCTTTGAGCAATCCTCTGCTTTGGCTTTCATTCCCAAGGTTCTGAGACATGATTGGCGTGGAGACACCCTGCACAAGAATAAGAAAGTAGGATGCCTCTCATGTCACTAATATAAAAGACATACAGGGCCAAAGCACAGACAAAAATATTCATATGTATCTTTTACTTGGCCCCCAACTAGGGCTCTTTTTCACCATTCAGTATGTTGTAATAATATTCATGACAAAACAAATGGTCAGTCCACAAATATCTCCGGCTACAGTTACCCGACTTAAGAAAAGGATATACAGATGTTAAAATCTAATAATAACTGGAATTTTATCTCTACAGGTTAAGTCACATCAAACCTTGGACATATATGAGGCAACATTTTATGATTAGCTGATGGCAAACTGGTGCTTTTTTATACTTTGAATGGCAGAAAAATAATAAAAGCTTTAAACAGGAGGGAGAGGGGAGGAGAAACTGCCGGTATTTGGCAAGTCTGGGAGGAAGGAAATAGGTACCTGCTATATAAGAGCATATATGCTCCCTGAGAAAGTACTCTTCCAGTTCACCTCAAACCTGG